TGCAGTTCAGGCTGGCCTTGAGTTCACTTTGTAGCCCAGGCTGGTCTCAAACTCACAACGATCCTCCTGCCTCAGCCTCCCAAGTGCTGGGATTACAGGTGTGCGCCACCATACCCGGCCAATCATATTTTTTTGAGACAGGATCTCACTATGCATTTCAGGCTGGCTTTGAGCTCACTTTATAGCCCAGGCTGGTCTCGAACTCTCAATGATCCTTCTGCCTCAGCCTCCCAAGTGCTGAGATTACAGGCGTGCGCCACCACACCTGGCTAAGGCCAATCTTTTGATGTTTTAACTTTACCTACTTATTAACTGGGTTGTTTTCTTGCTATTTAGTTGTGTTCCATATATAGTTTGCATATTAACTCATCAGAATTATGGTTTTAAAATAACATATTCTGTAGATTGTCCCATTCTGTTGATTATTTTCCTTCTATATGTAGCTTTTTAGTTTGATGCCTACTTGTCTTTTTTGCTTTTTGTTGCCTGTACTTTAGGAGTCCTATCCAAAACAAATCTTCCCCCAAAAGATTTTTCCCTTGAAAACATAAGATAGTGAATGGACATGGAAAACACTGTGCTGAGTGAAATAAACCAGACTCAGAACAATATTGCAATGATATCACTTATATATGCAAACTGAAGAACAGTCAAACATACAGAGCTAGAGAATAAAACAGTGATTTATTATATTTATATTATACTTGGGATTCCTGCTAAAGAAATACGTTTTAGATACCCTTACTCCACTCACACACACCCAGGGTACCTACGCGAGATAATGGATATGTTCTGTTTCCCTGAAAATAAGACCAAACTGAAAATAATAGTCAGCCTTAAAACCTAGAGATCAAAAGTACCAGCCGCGGGGCTGAGGATTTAGCTCAGCAGCACAGCGCCTGCCTGGCAAGCGGAGGGTCGTGAGTTTGATTCCCGGTACCAGTAAACAAACAAACAAATAAACAAAAAAAGAAAACAAACAAACAAAAAGTACCAGCCGCAATCAGCCTCTCCTTGCCTTGCATAGCAGCCACTGAGCCAGAGAACGGTGACAGAAGGTAAGGCAAAGACCGGCTGATGTGGGCTGGCATTTTTGATCTTTAGTTTTCAAAGCTGGTTATTTTCCACTTAGGTCTTTTTTTTTTTTGGTACCAGGAGTCAAACTCAGGACCTTGCACTTGCCAGGCAGGCCCTTGTGCCGCTGAGCTATATCCCCGGCCCTGCCCTTAGCTCTGATTTTCAGGGAAGCACAGTGTTAGTTTTACTGTCTATCTGCGCCCTGTGAGCTTCCCAGTGGCACAGTGAGCAGGTGAGCGGATCCAGATGGAAACAGAGATAAGAACAGGATGGAGACCCAGATGATCTGGATGTTCCTTCCTGGGACTTCCCA